GATATTTACTAATGAACTCATACACATTAGAAGCAAAAAGTGCTTTTTCTCACCTGTTGAATGCTATAAAGCAAGAAAGATAGCATAAGGAAACATTATGACTTGAAATATACCCGGTTTTAAAGGCAAGTTATCTATGGCACTTGCTTCAAGATTAATGGAGTGCTAATTGCTTGATGATACATACAGGACAACATAGCTGTTAAAGGCATATACAAGAGTTCCTCACTCTGTGCGTCTGAGTGCTGAGCTTCTCAGAGGGTACTCGTTTAATGGTATTTTCAGTGCAAGGTAGAAAAACCCTAAAAGTGTATAAGGTAAAAAAAAAAAAAAATCCCTAATAATTCATACATCTTCACCTTTCTTTTGATCATCTTATTCCAGACAGAAAGTATTTCTGTCTGAAACCAAATACATTTATTGAAGCATATCTTTTTCCACTGAAACTACTCTCTAGGAGGCTTAGCTGTCAATTCCTCACTCAAAGACAAGTGTCTTGCAGGGTGAATATATTTTTTTCTTAACCCTTTGAGGAACTCAGACTCTTTCAGCCAGTGAATTTCCAGATTTGGATACATTCCCCAGTCCCATTCCAACCTCCTGTCACCACAGAACCCCAAACTACACATTCACTTACAAAGGGAAGAAATGTGGGCATGTGGGCAAAAGATGAGGCATAGGAAATGATCAGTCCATCATGTGCCCAGGCAGAATGACTGGAGGACTAGTGTGGGAAGGGGTCACTGTGACAGTCTCCGATCATGAACATGCATGGCTGTGAACACAAACTCATATTTTCATCTTTGCATGTATGAGATTTAGTATGGCCTGTCCCATGCATTTGTGTTAAAGTCTAACTCCCTGGTGGACAGACCAGGTCACAGAAGTCAGATAACAGTGAAATTACATAAACAGCACCGTAGTCAGTGTCTTGTCTTCCCTGGGCCTCTAAACTTCTTGCGTTTAAGAACAAACTATGTGTTTAAGAATAAACAAAGATTAAGTGAATAAGCAAAGACTTTTGATCCCTTGCTTCACCACCAGTCTGCCCCTGAGGGCTGTTCCTACCTAAACATGAGTTCCCTGCCAGCAAAGCTTGAGATGAGCATACCTAAGTAGCTGTAGGCTTGCAAGGGCTGGTGCACTGATCTGTGATCTGTGTAGCTAGATCATGAAACTTTGGTGGTAAAGAAAGATGTCATACATGAAAACACAGCAGTGTGCTTGATAAAATTTCGTAATTCTATGTTTCAATAAGGATAGAAAATATCCTGTTTCTTAATTACTTTTTGTTTTGTGCAACAAACATTAACTATGAGAGAGCTTCATTTGGATTAATGGTTACTTTGGACACATATCACATATAATTCACATATAATTAAATTATTCCCTATCTTAGTTATTAAGAGGCAACTATTTTATTATTTATTTATCATTTTAACACACTCTCGTAAGTTACCTATGAGATCAGGAAGAAATGTTAACTTTTCTGGGTAAAGAAACACTGAAGATCTCACCAGAGTACTGATTTGAAATCTCTAGGAAACTAGATCCATGTGACTTTCCCAAAAGTTAAGGAAGGAAAGACAGCGAGGGAGCCGAGATTTCAGTCCTACTCTTCTGGACAGTCTCCTCAAGTTCCAGAACAGTGGAATTATAATACTGGTCTCTGTTTTCTTCCTTTTTCCTGTTGTGCATTTGTTTTATTCACATTTTTCTTCAACATCCTCCCACTTATGCTCTTTCCCTTATTCTTCCTGTTCCAGGTTGCTAGTTCTCCTCTAATGTCATCCTAGACACTGGGCTTCCTTTCCCCTAAGGAGAGAGATTTGTCTCATATGCAATTCTGGTGAGATACATAGGTAGAGCCCTTATAAAGGTCTGTTCTGCAATCTGTATTTTAAAACTGATGTTATATCACTATCAGCATACTTTGCAGAGATGGCTATGATTATTGTCATTCATACTTAAAATTTTCAGCGTTCTGGTTCTGGAAGAATATTTAGAAAGTCTCTCAGCTGCTCTTGCTACCAACACAGTAGTTATGAAGTTATATACAGTTAGTATGTTGCCATTTAAGCAGCAGTGTATATGAGTTATGTACCTTAGTAAGCAAATAGAAAATACAAACCTTTAATTATGTATAAACATTCAGGACTGAAAAGCCTATACTTACATCTATAAAAAAGCTGAGACCTATAAACCCTTTTCTTCCAAATGTATTATACGAATAATAATATAAAGAGCCCCCATCAAAACTGACCAGATCTTATTATGAGGATTCTGTTATCTCAGGATATTTTCTGGGTATGAATTTAAAGATGTGTAGTAGTTCCTGTTCCATTCAAAGATAATCTGATACATAGATGACGTAAAATAACATGGGTCATCTATTTTAATTAGTATTTTTAGGTCTCTTGTTCCCTCAGTTTTGTATGGTGACAATTCCTAAGTTTTAGTATAACCAATATCTCTTGCAGCTTTGAAGAATCCCAGGATACTATGCTTTGAATAGTTCATAATAGTTAATTTTTGAAATAGTGACTTTTTGAAACTGCTCCACATTTTTAATAACTCCAAAGCTTTTATTAACAAGAGTTACAAAATACATTATTTATGTAAGAATGGCATACTGACACACAGACTTGGAAAATATCTTGCACTTGGCATGTAATAAAACTGCTTTTTCATATTTGTTGGACATATTAAACCATTCTTACTGCAGAAGGGAAGATAGCAAAACTGCTTAATCCTACAATATTAAATGTTTTTATTATTGCAGTCCTTGCTGCAGTTTTGCCATATAGAAACTGTATTTTAAAGAAGAGAATTCTACATAACAGAACAATATATTACAAAATGTATTTGCATCTCATACGGGATTGATCTGGTGGAATAAATGTTGAGATTGAAAGTCATCTGACTGCTCAGTCTTTTCCATTGCTGTCTATTGTTCCTTATTGTTAGTTCATGTTCAATATTTTGTTTGAATAAAGTGCTTTTTTCACAATCCAGAATTTCTATTGCTATGTCCCTGTTTCTGTTAGCCCTTAAATCTACATCCAGAATTTCATCTATTATTCTGTACTGCAGACATGAACTACACTCACAACAGGCGATCTTCATTATAGCAGCCCTGAGTTGTATAACATTTTTAATACAATCACTCTTATTTTCAAAAAAGAAATGATCACATATTCAAGTAAACACCATTAAAGACAGCTGCTTGCTCCTTGAATGGTCTCCAGCAGCAAGATAGGCACTAAAAGGGCCGGACAGATCTCAGTAGCAGCTGTGGGGTGAAAAGAGAATGTCCCATAGGTAATGCAGCTTTCTGTAAAGAACTGAAGTAGCACAGAATATACTCTCCATGATCCATCATTCTCCCTCTTCAAGTGCATGATGCAGATTCTGTAACAAATGGGCAACTGTAAAAGGCATTGTCAAGGGACATTGTTACAAGGACAGCAGTCTGCTTTCTGCTTGTGGGAAGGAAACTGCGTGATGAGTGTCTTTCTGCACATAAATTAGTACAACACTCCCAGAATCTTTGTGCTGAGTGACCATAAAGATGAACAACATGAAAAATGTGCTGTAGTCAATGGAAAGCTAAAGAAATTCGGTATACATCAAAGGAACTACTTAATTTATTTCTATTTCATTCAAATATTTGCAACACTACAACCTCATCTTCTGCAATGTGGCTTTGTAAATTAGTATGCTTATTAATAAAAGCTGAACATATGACTATCATCAGCAATATTGAATGATGTAGAATGATGGTTTTTATATTAGACACTTTTTTGTTATTGATTTCTCTGCATAATTAATTACCATATCCAGATGTATAGAGTAAGGAACCTCCCAAATCAATTAAGATTTTGCATCAGCAGAGTAATCTGAAGATGGAATTTTTGCATAATATTTGTTATCCCCAAAACCATAACAATGCATAGTTCTTTCTTTGCTACATTTTAAAACAAAGACAATGAAAGCAATCATGGCCAGACTGAGCAACGCATCTACAAAGCCACTGATCAGTCTTTATAAAAGGACATGTTCAACCCATGTGACAATGTAATCACCACTGACAGTGATGAACAAAAGCAAAACCTTATGCTTACGTTATATGTATCTAATATTTGTAGGAATGTTTAAATTTTCACATCAATATTTTTAGAAAGTTTAGTGTTCACATTATGGCTTCAAATTAAATGTTGTTTCTAATAGAACTCTAATTAAATGGTATGTTTACAGAAAGCAGCAAGTATGGTAGTCATTTCATTTATTGTAATAAACATGTTAGCAAAATATCACTGTCATAGTTTGAAAGTAAAACAAAGTCACATACATTCCTTTGGCATTAGCAATAAACACTGGGAGAAGGGAGATAGTATTGTTTTATTCTGTAATGCTGCAACTCCCAGCATACATCCATGGTCAATCCTGAAATATCTTCTGCACTAGCTATAAGAAATTTATTCCTCACATGTACTTATCTCCCTTGTTCCTGTGACTATGTTAGGAATGTCTCTTGTGCATACAGAGAGGAATGCACAAGCAAAGCCTGAAGGCTGAATTTCCTGGTTTCAGTATCAATGAAAAAAATCTAGATATAACGCTTAAATATCTTTGCCAAACTAACTTACCTTTTCCTTACCACCAATGCTACATATAGCGTGAAGTTGCAGAAATAATTATAATATTGGGCAAAATTGCAAAGGGAAGTTAGAGTATGCTTGCTAGCTCACCTGTAGCACTGCACTGCTTTTGATATTTTGATCACTACTAGAAGCAGTTGAAAAGGACATGAAGAAAAAAACCAAAAAAGACAGTAGATTATTTTCCATCACTACAGACTTGAATTATTTTCAAAGTGGTGTTTGACTAATAACAGTTTCTGTGCTCTCCTGGGTAATTCAGAAATAAATGAACTAAACACACCCATTTAATATTTTTTTTTTTTTTTTTTAATTTAGGCCACCATATCAAATAATGTGTTACAGAAAGCATGGAGGCACTTCTGTATTGCAGATATTGGTGTTCAGATGCTGATCATTAAATAGTTTATTCCAGTTCATAAAAATATGAGTAACAGGGAGTTTCCTCTACAGATTTTTTTCCCCATATGTCCTCTGACAAAGTCTGAATGTTTTCCAGAATGGCAATATGAAACTTGGTGTCCTCAGCTTTCATGAATTTCACAAAGTCTCTGGCAAACTGACTTTGGTCTATCACATCCAGAGTCTCACACACAGACTCACTGACAGCTACATGGAGGTTGGCATCTCTGAAGTAATGTATCTGGAGGAGAAAGATCCCTGTAACCTGACTGGCAAATGCAGTCAGGGCAAAAGTCAGTCTGACATCCAAAGGCCGTTCCAGTGATTTGATGACACTGATGAGCCTCAGTGCAGGCCACAAACAGCTGCCTCTTCCCCAGGCTTTTTCTGAACATGCAGCAGTTCCCTACAGGAAAGTGGCAGCTCACGCAGGCCTTCAAGACCCTTTTGGAGAGCCCCTTACCACAGTTCCCTCACATCCAGCATTGTACTGTGCAGCTGGGGTTTGATGGTTACTCCACACAGGTGGTCAAACTCAACAGTTGAGAATTTGTCCTGAGCGTCAAAGAAGCTGTTTCCCCCGAAGTTGTTGTAGTGGGTCAGTAGCACAGTGGGCCCATTTATTTGGATGGGGGTGAAGTTTTTCTTGTTGTGACAGGCTCCCACGCAGGTAGCCTCCTGCCTGACAAGCTTGTCATCTCCGAACAGAGCAGAGAGATCTCAGAAAACCTGGCCAAAGTCCCCAGGAGGAGACTAGCACAGTAGGCCTCAAATGAGAGATGCCTTCTCCACTTCCTTCTTCATGCACATGCTGGGGTGAGGGCTACCCAAGTGGCTGGAGACTGCAGGCAAGGGGAAGGCATATGGGCGGCTTTAGGATGAAGGGAAGGGTCATGGGAAGCCATGGCAGCAAGGGGCCTATGCTGGGGCCTGCAACTTGTGACCTCACAGCAGCTCTGGGGCAGCGTTGCTAGGGGACCAAGGTTGGGAGTTGTGCTGAGAGGGAGTAGGAGGCTGGGGAAAAGCCCCTACCAGGAGCCAGAGCAAGCTCAGCTGGTGTCCTGCCAAGTGCTGCCAGTGATACTGCAGTGAAGATCCCACACCAGGTGTTTCAGAACCGCCATGGAGGAAAACAGATATCCTCCCTTTGCTCTACCTCTTCCTATTTTGCGGCTCTACCTCCCCCTCCTCTCCCTGCCTGTGTAATCTCTCCCTGCATGGCTCTTTCCCCACGGACCTGGGCCTGGCTATTAATGGGACACCCCAGCTGGGTGGCAGAAGGCAGCCTGGGGCAATCAGTCCAGTCTGGTCTGGCTGGTCTGGCCTGGTCCAGCTGGGGCCAACTGAGGCTGGCTGGGTAGCACAATACTGGGCTCACTCACCTTGCTGAGGTTTGCTATTGGCAGTCCTCTTCCTACCATTCCCCACAGCTCCTGAATCCTGTCTGCCTCCCCACATTTCCTTCCTCTCACTGCTCCCCTTTCTTCACCCTGATCACCCCCTGTTTTCCTTCACTCCCTCCCCTTTTGTTGGCCATTTTGTCACCTTTGCCCTCAGAGTGTCTGGGCATAGAGCAAAAATATCTTCCTGCATGCCTCAGAACCTGCTCCATTCTCAGAAATCAGACAAGGATGTTCTAGAGTGTAAGAAAAGCAAAGTGCAAGCTTTTTAGGTTTGGAAACATTAAACCTCTCCTCCTCCCCCTCTTATTAAAAGGAAATGACATGGGCCAGAACTTTCCTTAACTTGATCTCTCGTACGTGGTTTTTGTCCATCATTCAAAATGAGTTCAGGACTGGAAAGATTGATTTAGACAGCACAATGAAGCTGCTTGAAAAATTTCATATGCCTTTTGATTTTGAACATGTAAAACATGTTTTCAAGGTAAGGAATATGTAGATTAAGCAATTAAATATGTTTAGAAGTCCAGTTACATGAGTGTTTTATATCTGCTGACTTTTTAAAATTGATGTTTTGAGACATTGTCATGCTAGTAAGGTGTGCAAAGTCAGCAAATAATCTGGCTCATCCAGGTCTTTTGTTTCTGTGTAAAATAGATAACTGAGTTGTTGCATTAGAATCATAGAATCTCTTAGGTTGGAAAAGACCTTTAAGATCATTGAGTCCAATGTTAACTTAACTCTGCCAAATCTACTACTGAATCATGTCCCTAATCACCAAATCTACATGTCTTTTAAATACCTCCAAGGATAGTGACTCAACCACTTTTCTGGGCAGCCTGTTCCAGTACTTAATAACCCTTTCAGTGAAGAAATTTTTTCCCCAAATCCAATCTAAATCTCCTCTGGCACAACCTGAGGCCGTTTCCTGTTGTCCTATTGCTTGTTACTTGGGAGAAGAGACAGACACCCAGGTAACACCATTTCTTCACCACACCAAAATTGTGTAGGGTAATGAAAAATATGTAGGTCTTGATTCCCAAAGTTTTTGTAACATGGCCTCACTTGAGAAAAGTTAAAACATTCTGGCTTCATTCCATCCAAGTGCTGTGACCAAGCTAAGGAGCCCAGACATGCCCGTTTGATGCTGGCAGAGCCTTAGACTGACTTCATAAAAACCCTTTTGCCAGTATGAGGACAATATGTAGTTGTCTGATCTGCTCAGGCTTCAAGTCAACATAGATCCAACACAATTGTTCATTCAATTTTCCACTATATCTCTCCTCTGAAGTATTTAAGGGGTGTGTCTAAATGGATGGGAACTGCACTCTAACCCCTGGGAAAGGATGTGATCTTGAGATACAGCAATGTTTAAGAGATTTCTATGAAGGTTACATGATACAGATAGAAACTGGACTTACTAATATGTTAATTTAGTGTAGGTAAGCAAAATACCATCAAATGGATGCAGTCCCAGTGAGTAAATACTGCAAAACTGAGTGCCTTTGGATAAATTGAGTTTTCATGTTCTTCAGGTCCCCTCTAGTAATTACTCAAAAAATGTATGATTTTTCTTTTTAGCCCACCCCCCCCTTTTTGGCTAGAATTCCTCATGAAATTTACTTTTGTACTTGTTTTGTATATTTAAGGTATTGTTTTTATTGTACTTATTCAGACATCTCTTAGTAGGGACTGTACTGCATAGGAAGAAGCTGGTAATGTATCGTTAAGCTTTTAGTTTTTATGGTGTTTTTTCAAATCTAATCTAATTTAGTATTGATCAAGAGTCTTCATTAAAGAGCAAACAGAGCTCAGGTAAGTCATTCCATATTTATGAACACTTTTGGGAAATCCCTACTAACTGTAGTAGGTGCCATGTTATTAGATGCTGAGATTTAACCTTTTTTGTAGTCTCAGTTTAAGGAGCTAACAATTATGAATTTTGATCAGTTTACAGTGATAATAAATGACACAATGGATTTCTATTTATTTCTGATTTTTGTGAGTAATTTTGTCAGTAAATTTCCAGTTTCTCTTAATTCAGCAAATATTAAGAATAATACAATCTGAAATGTTAGAAACTTCTATATTTCATATGCACAATTACATATTTCATGTAGAAAATTTTAAAGGATGAATAAAATGGTTAAGCCTGAGAAAAATCTAGAAATGGCAAAAAAAGTATTGTTATACTCATATTCTTTTGCCCTTTTTATTTTTCTAGTGGCTTTTATACTAAAACACCGAGATTAATTAATGCGCTAACATTTTGTAAGGTCTACGAAAACAAGCTTATAGTTTAAGAATTCTGAAAGTGTGAATAATTTGAGTTAAACATTCTGGCTTGTTAAGAACAGAACACAATGTCATACGTTATTATAAAGTATCTTGTCTTCAAACTTTAATACTGTTTCTTATTTGATGCATTGCATTTGCATCTCATGATAATTTAGTCATCCTTATTTCATTTCTTAGTTTACCATTTGCTGTGTGTTCTATGTAAATGTAATTGACAGTATTTACAATACAGTTTAAACTGCTGTTGGAGAGATCTTATATTAAATATACTTTCCACTTGATAATTTTTATGCTGCAGATTTATTTTACTGCATAGCATTTTAGAGATTTTAGATAA